GGGGGGGGGGGCTTCAGCCCCCCCCCCCCCCTCGCTACGCCACTGGGTGAGCGTGACTCACTTTTATCGTGACTTGAGACTAAAGCAAGGATTTTGGGAAGACACTAATCATGAGCTTGAAATGAACGAAACTCACATCCTCGCGATCGTGAGTGACCGCGAGGTATTTCTTTTATGAGAGCAAGAGGGAAGAATGAAGGAAAGGAGAATTATTCATATCTCGCCGGCTAGACTTCGTCTTGACTAACTTTTCCATGCCATCGGTGCTAAAATTGTGGTTTGGGAAAGGATTCAATGCCATCCTCATTATGGGAGAGGCAGTTGGTTAAGAAGCTCTTGAGCAAGAAACCACATAGTACAGATTGCGAATGCTCACGGGCAGGAAACCATGAAGGAAAGGCACAAAATACGACTCACACGCGTGATCACGCATGATTTTTTGTAAACCACACTTGCCATAATGGATGTGCGTGATTGCGATACTGGTGAAATGGAGAAGGTCGTGAATGCGAGTTTGAAAAGGTTTTCCACTCGCGATCTGGAGGAACAGCGAATCAAAAATCACTTCCGCGCAAGCCTCTACCTCTCTGACTGAGGGTCATGTAATAAAATCAAATTGAGTGCATTCATTTTAGCATGATTTAAATATCATGCATTCCATTCTTAATACGTCAAATGCTGGGGGAATGTGTGAGCCCTGAAAGATAAGACATTGGGTCACTAAATTTTATTGGAAGCTTGCAAGCGGCTTGCACCTTCAATGAAGATTGGATGCTGCTGTTCGCAGTTCCCTCAGAGCAGGTTGCAAGAAAAAGATATATCGTACTCTGTAATAGGAAGTAATTTATCAAGTTCCATCCGAAAGAGTATAAAGAGTAGAACTGGCTAGTCCTATCACTAGGCCTATATCCTCGGATTTACTGGATTACTCTGATTTACTAAGGCAATAGATCTCGTTTGGTGTCTTAGTCAGCTTCAGGATAAGTTTGTGTCCCTTGAATAGATAAATGCATAAAACTATTCTGCAAATTATTTCCCAAGTTTATTAATACATTAATGGGTAGGACAGTAATAGAGGTAGAGAGCTGAAAACTATGCCAAAAATGATGCTTGAAATAATGAAAATTATTGAGCAATTAGGAATGAAGATATGGAGTGACATGCACCAAATCTGTTCAACTTAAACCAATCTGATCTCACAAAGGCCCCTATGGGAATTAGGCACATTAGGCATAGGAGTCTATAGTTACATGAGAAGTTGCTGATGTTAATCATGGAGTTGACTTGACTTTAAGCCAAGACCTATGATAGGTTGGTATAGCCAAGGCAATTATGTTCATATTTATATTAGGCTAGCTTATTTTAATATTTGTATAACTATGTCTTTAGGTAAAGAATAAAGATGAGTAAACCAAGAGGTGGGAATGATGAGACTGAGCTGAGTGACATGAAGAGGAAGAATGATGAAGAAAGACAAGCACCCATGAAATTCCTGTTTAAAAAGGAGACCATGGGAGAAAGGTTGAGGTCCCATAAGCGATCTCACTTTCAAAAGAAAGGTGGGATTTCATTCTTCAGATTTTTTAGGCCTTAAGTAGAATACCTCGTCTATGCCCTTGACAGTTTCCAAAAAGTACCAGTGTAACAGAAAAGTTGATACTGTGAGGCAAAGAGTTACTAATTATTGTCAGGTTTTCATGCAATGACAGTTTTTAAATTGGGCCAAGTGATGCTGTTCATAGCTTCATTTCCTTGTGGCTTGTGCAAGGGAGAGAATCAGTGTCCAATATAAGAGAGTTGTCATCAACCAGTGATTATGCAGTTGCTCCATGTCCTTGCTAAATATCAATTTACACCCCCTCTGGTTCTAAAATTTGGTACATTTGAGAAAGTCATGCTACAATGCTTGTGGATTGATGTTTTCTCACCCCTCTTCTTTGCATTGATGCCAACCATACACTACAGATGATCTTATTCTGCTTCTGCCAATGGTTGGTGAAATCTGGTTTCACTTTTAGGCTTTGACTTTAAAAGAGGACTCTCTGCTCTGGTGAGTCAAATCAAGAGAGCCATTTACATATAAAATCACCTTCAACTACAGTCTACAACTCTTCACTACCTTTAGAGAAAATATCAATGAATGTTATTATCCACAACTGGTCTTAATAATTCTTCATAGCTCACCACATAACAAATGACCAGGTTAGAAGCTTTTGAGGTGTGTACCCTTGTGATTTAATTCCCTGCACTTGTGAAGTGCCATATACAAACATGATTTGGCATTCACCAAGTAGCAGTAGTAGGTCTTACCTTTGCTTCTTGTATGATATGCTTTTCAATTATATATTTAAAAAAGAAATATATTCTGGTACAGTCTAATTTTTTGGGCTGTTGGCATGAGTTTAAGTATGAGTCTTAGAGTGTCATTAGCCTTATTGCTGCACTTGTTTTTACTTACTTGCCTTTGCATATCATTTTGCTTTCCTCTTTGTTATGGTATTATTGCCTTGGGTAATACATTTGTGCATTCATTTTTTTCTCTTTTTTTCCTTCATTCCTCCTCTATCTCCTTTATTTCCTTTTTTATCTTCTCCTTTTCTACTTCTCTTCTTGTTTTGTTTATTTCATTTCCGGTTGTGAGTAGTGAGCATAACCTTCCCTGGCTCAAACTCCCCACCATATCATGCTCACCATCACTTTCTCTCAGAGGTCAGTGATGTTCAGCGAATGGAGGAAGACCTTTGTCATCTGCTTGAGAACTTTCATTCTGGGAAGCTCCAGGCTTTTGGTATGTTACTTAACTGTGATTCACTCTCAGGGAAATCTATCATTTTTAAGATGTTGGAGAAGAAAAGCTACTTCAGGTTCGCATCCTCCCCCCCCCCCCCCTCCTTTCAATGCTGTTTCTCTCTTTTCAGCATTGCTTCAGTTTAATATTTGTTGAGTGTACTGCCTCTCAATATTCATGCTATACCCTTTTACATGCATTTCCTAGATGGGAGATAACATGAGTAGAATTAACTCTCAAAATTCCTTTCTTTTGAGCATTTATCCTCTCGTGTTCTTTTTAGCAAGGAAGGTTGAACTTTTTGAATCCTATAAAAGATTGTGCCTTCAGATTGTGCAAGTCATTCAGCATGGAAGGTCCCTTTTTTTGTTGCTCTACAGCAAGACATATAGACTTGTCGATTAAGTTGTCAGAAAAAAATACTTTGAATTATACATGGTATGCAGATTTGCTTTCCTGTGCATAATGAGGAATTTGGAATGAACAAAAAAATGAACAAAGAAGCCCAGAAGATTGCTTTAAGGAATGTTCATGGAAACAGATGGAAAAATTGAAGATATCAAGTTTGATCCTAATCTTTTTCAAGAAGAGTTTGAACATTTTAACTAGGGCTGTACCAATGAATCAGGAACCACTAGTATCAGCCACTGGTATGACTCCATCAGTGTCATCAGCCATCAGCTGGTTTGCAGGCTGCCAATGCTGATGGCCAAAGATGAACATGCTTAAAGAATAAAAAGAAAAAAACCCACATAAATGTACCACAGTAAATTATTCTCAACAGCAGTAGGAAAGGAGTAGAGAGTGGAACTGCCATAATGCATCAATATTGCTATTGATAGTTATAGTCAATGCATCTATGCTTTCAAAACAGCCTTTGATGACAGTACTTACAATGAAAAGTATAACATGGCTTCATAATATGCCTATTTGAATGAGTATTTGATGTGGATATCAGCTCTTTATCTACTTGTCACAATCGGCATTGGGACTGGCACAAGATGATGGATATGAGATCACAAGTGGCCACTAGGACAGTCCTACTTTTAACCCTTTCTTTTTCTCATGATGTATATGTCATCACAGTTCTCTGGGGCTTTCCTGTTGCTGTAACATTGACAGCATGAAAAAGAGATCCTGGAACAAGCATATGCAGCAAATACCATCCAGCCAACTGCTCACATCCACTCCCTCCCCCAAAGAAAACACTCTGGCAAGGAGACACACTCAAGTAAACTGACTGATGAAAGGGTTAGGAGGCTATGTTAGAAAACAAAATGTTTGCAAAGTTACACAAGGGACTCTCTTTGAATTACCATGTAAACTCATTATCTCAAACTGTAAGAGATTGGGCAAATCAATTCGACTTATCAGAAATTGCCTCTATCCCTAATAAAAATATCTCAGGTTAAAAGACATAACCAGAGGGCAATTTTCCCATCCTTAAGAATCCAATGTCAAAAAGCAATGACCTTTTCATTATCATTTGCTTTTATTCATCTCTTTGGAAATTTGGATACTCTATATGCAACATCCATTTATCACAACCCCCTTCATCTGACACTCCTTTGGTTTTATCCTTCCTGCCATGTAAGTAATTATCATTAACTCTAAAGGAATTATCAAGAGAGAAGTGGAAGTCTTCCAATGTGTCAATCATTTCAAACAAGTCCACTGGTACTTCCCCTTGTGAGAGGAGGAAGTTTCACCTCCTTCACACCCCTGATTTGTTAACTTCAAGTTACCCCATAAGAAAATCATGATGGGTGGTAAAAATGTGGTTTGAGATATCTGGAAATTTGAGATAAATGTAATATTTAACATGTTGTCCTTCTGGATTCCACAGATACCAACACTGAACTTAAAGATAAGCAGAATTTAGACTTATCAAGATTTGAGTTGACACGTTTCCACTGTACCTGGAAAAAGTATATGTTGTTGGGCATCTCAAAGATAACAAAAAATCCTTGTTTTTTTTTCCAATAGCAATTTCCCTCATTGTCAACAAACTGTCAAAGATGATCACTGGGGAAAAAAGGACAATTTTGCTGCATGAGTGTAAATTGTAGGAAAAATTTTATAAATGTCTCCCTTAATGCTTGGGAAATTCTCTATAGATTTTTGGATTTTCACTGGAAAATTCAGCAACTTTGCACAAAGGATGTCTCTAATGTATATTACATTGTTGTTTGAAATTTTTTTTCAAGTGTTCCTGATTCCTTTGACCAGCCTCAATCACTGTGTAGTTTATACTTCCTCCCTCTTAATACTTTCACTATGAATTTAGGAAATGTTCAAAATTGTTATTTTTGCATTTGACTGGAAAATTTAGAATATAAGATATATTGTTGCTCAGCAAGGCATGCTGTATGACACCTACATCAATCCCAGACTTAGGCTAAATTATAGATATTTTGTATGGGGTCTAATACACAATTTTTCCAGTTTGGGTCATTTTATTATTTTATATTAAATGTCCAGAAGCAGGAAAGTTGTTATTCAGCTGTAATGGATTTATTTTTCATTTTTCATGCTATATGTATTGTAAATGAAGAATTTCATTTTCCTGAGTTAGACAATTCCTGAAGTTTCATGGATCAAGGTTCAAGATGACCACTTGCATGGCCAATGCGATGCTGCAAAATTGGTAAATTCTTTCCTAATTATCATGTAACCTAACAAAGTTTTGAATAGCCCTTTAAATAAAAGCTTTAAAATATTTAACATTTACAATACAACTGACACCAAATAGCAGAATGCAGCTATTGGGTATTCAAAAGCAAAAGTATGCTGGATGTCCAGAAATTTTAATCATCAGTACCTTCCATAGTTCAGTCATTTATAATATTTTATTTAATGCATTTAATGCAAGTACATAATGCATAAAATAGGATTACGTAAGTATTTACATTATGGTGCCTGCAAATAAACCTCTATGTCAATAGACTTATAAGCTGTTCCTTTCCTGCTCAACAACAATGAGCAACTACTCAGCCTTGACTGTTTCTCTTTCTTTTACTCCATGTAGATTTTACTGTCAGTTTATAGGTCTTGCTGTCCTATACTCCAGTACAGAGATCAATATTGATCAATATTGTATTGTTGCATCTTAAATTTTACTAACTTCATTCAATCTTGCCCTATTATGAAGAAATGATTTAGTGTGATTTGAAGTAAATTTCCATTCCTTATGAATCAAATAAGTCATCCAGATGGATTCTCTTCTTGATTGAAGCTATTCTGAGAAGTAATTCCTTCTTAAAAAAATAATTGGTAAGTGAAGTAGAATAATGGTGATATTTGATGAAATTACTTCTTTGCAGGTGGAGACGACTTGCAAAAGATGGAGGGGATAAGAGAGCTTCAGGAGCAGTTGGGTCGGCTCCACTTTGACTTGGGTGGATCTCAGGGTGATCTCTTACCACCCCTCAGTGAAGAGGGGCTTAAGCGTGCTCAGTGGAACATGAACACTCTCATGAGTAAATTGACACAGCTCAGCATGAGCATCGAGGAACTCCATCGCAGTGAAGCATCATGATCATCAAAAGGCTATCATCCAAATGCATTCCCCTTTGTGAAGCAAAGACATTCTTTTTCTGTTTCAATAGATGAATGTTTGAAGAATCAGAGTCTTCCTATTGTTGTTGCATTTCAAAAAATAAATTATTTGAGAGAAATGTGACAATGCTTTAATTGAGTAATAAAGTACACAAGATGGAATTTTAATGAGAGCTTTCTCCAAATGTGAAGCTATCTTTGCATATATCTGTTAATGTCTTTGACTGCAATGCATGAGAGGGTATTCTTTAATTAGGTCTCTATTAGTAGGCTTTTGACATTTTATATAGCCTAATAACTAGTGGTGCCACCTTAGCCTCCCATGAAGACTTCACTCATCTCTCCATAATATTAAGCAATGACTGCAAAAAATCGATTGGAATATCCTTCCAGGTGTCGTGCTAACAGCAACAAACATCTCTTGATTGTGCTTCTTGATCATTTTGTCTCCAGTATAATTGCAGACAAGCTCAAATGGATTAAATTCCTTAAGTACACAGTTTTACTGTTTTAAAAGGTATGAGCACCAATGGTACATTCAAGAGAAATTAATAAATTTATTTATATTATCGAGCACTGAAGGTGTAAGTAGTACAAGTATTTAATCAGGTATAAAACATATATTCAATCACATGTGAGCAGAACCATCTTGTTGGACCAATATTGTCCTCCAATATGCACTACTCTGCTATTCAGTACTCTCTTGGCCAACATTCAGCCAAAATTGTACATTTTCTGGATACTTGTTAGCTCTCAGTTGAACCCTGTAGAATGTAATGTTTTATGGCTTCCAGTCACATGCCATCAAGGATTTATTCAACTCATGCTTTTGCATTACAGCCAATTTCTAAAAAGCGCCAGTCATCATTCGTTTCTTTCAAGGATTTGTGATTCTGAGATTGGAGGGATCTGTTGTAGAGGAAAAAGATATGAGATGGGAAATGGTTCATTGACAAACACAATTTACAATATATAAAACCAAGTCCTGACCATTATTAGAATCAGAGAGAGCATGCATCAAGGGAACCCACATTTGCATGGAGGGAATACACATATTTCAGAGTCTCCTGAAACCGGTTGTAATTCACATGAGGTCTTTCTGTATGCAAATCCATGAAATGTAAACATTTCTCAAGTTTGAATGCATCAGAGCCCTCTGCCTTCCCAACACAAGATGAGAGCCTCTCCTGAATCTCTGAGCAGCTGTGGAACATTTCTGACCATTCAACAGAGAGGCTGCTTTTATCAACATGATTGCATTCCTTCTGACAGGAGGGACACTTGAAGGCAATTTTATCTGGAATTGAAGCAAACAATGGCCAATTTTCCACACAGGCATGACAATGACAATCAAAAAAGTACTGGGAAGTGAGATGAGATTGTCTTTCATTTTTGGGCATGATGGCATAATGATAGCCATAATTGTCAAGGATCTCCTCTCCAGCTCTAATGGTTCGAATGGAGCGAACAACACATATTTCCCCATATGAATGACGCACCACATTTGGGTCACAACTATGATTAAAGAGGCTTAGTGTGGCATATGCCACGCTGCCTATTTCTACTGATGCAAATGTGGCTGAATTGAGATTCAACATGGAAACCTCATGTGCATTACAAGGGAGATTCTGCAAGTGCATGAGGACCAGGGATGCAAGGAAACTGGATTCCTTCTTGAGACATTTGACAATGTAGATGGCCTTCAGGGTTCTCATGAAAAGATCAGATGGGCTTCTTGAAGTGGAGTGACCAACCAAGTGGTAGATGTTATAGTAATCCAAAGGGTCATAAAAAGCTGAGCTTTTTATAGTTTGGCTCCCAGTCTCCAGAGTCTCAACAGGAGAGGAAGTGATGATGCGTGCTGCAAGGAAACCAATGGACCCAATCTCTGGATCTTTGAAGATTTCCAAGCAATGACACTCATTATGATGAAAGGGGAATGCCATCTCTCGACATGATTCACTGCAATACACCACCTAAAGAAATCACAATGATGGGCATGCAATAATTGTTCCTTATTTTCACTCTCTCTCTCTGCACACATGAACTGCCTCATCTTTCACACTCAGATCTAATGAATGAATAAATGTATATAACAGGGAAAATTCTGAGATATTAAGAGCTGTGTCATGATGATCTAACACTTCACTGATTGTACCATTTGCACTTAAGATAGCCAGAGCTGTCCAGATCATAAAAGAGATCAGAAACCAGATGCCACAAGTGTTTGGTGTCCATTACTCTTTACTGCAAAAGCCTAAAGGAAGCTAAAGAATTTTCCCTTCTTTCTTGTAATGATCAACTAGCCTCCAGCATGATTATGAAAAATCAAGAGATATCAACATGCTCAGTGCTGCCTTAGTATTATTATTATTACCATTAGTAGTATACCTTCTAACTAAAAAAACAGCAGTGGAGGCAAGGAAAGGAGAAGGCATTCACTCGGACAGATCCCGAGTCCCTAGGCTATCTGGTCCTTTTTGGCTTCCATCTCACACATTTTCTAGGATCCTGTCTCATTCCCCATCTTGCTAGGATGTAAATTCAATCAAAAAAGGAGGGCTAAGTGTAGCTCTGCTTGAAAGGGACTTGGGATTCTGGGCCATTTTTTCCTTTCAGTTAGGGATACCCCATTGCTCAGATTTTTTTTTATAATGGTATATTTATATACCAAACCAACTTTATTCTAACCCCATGTGCTGGAAACAGAGAACCTCCTTCATGGGTGTGATGAGTAAAGGTTGAGCATTCCTCCTTGAAGAATTCATGTCCAGACAGGGGAGGAATGGATAGAGAAACAGGAAGAAACCAGTCAATGAAGACATCTCCTTTCCCAGCCTTGGCATGGGAAGAATGACTTTATTCAGGGTGACCTTTCTCTGACCTGCCTGTGACAAAATGTCATATTAAATTTTCTGTAGAGCATGCTTAAATGGGCACCCTCCAAAAAAGTGATGAATATTGCTTCCCAGATGGCTCATCAGATGGAGAGGGACATTGAGCTAAACCTGCTCAGGACAAGGAATCAGTGCCAGGACAAGGAAATTTTGATTTACATGTTGACAGGGTCAAGCAATAGTTGAAGCTCCACCCATCAACAGCAAACAGACAACAGCATCAATTTCAATACATTGTCCAGCATCTAGATCAATGAAGTAATTGAAATTCCTCATGTGAGGGTTTCTGCTTTGATTTCCATACTGAAGTTTACTTGCTGTATGACTTTTTCCTATTTTCCATTTATAAGACTGGACTGTATTGATATTCAATCATGAGGGGCATGACTCTATCCCATGTGTGGGAGAAATCATGTCTCATGATTTCTCCCACAGTAGAGGATGCTGCATGAAGGTCTCACAGGGGAAATCTCTGGAAACCTTCTGTATGAAATGAATGCCATGATAGGACCAGAAAACATGAGTCTTCATAATGGAAAATTGTATGGCTCACCAAAGATTGATTCCCCAATACCTGTCCCACATTATCAAATTCCTTTTGCCATACAGCTTCTATTTGAACCTCAATAAATTAGCTTTCTCTCCATTCAAAGCAGAGGTTAAGAGACAGCTGGGTTCTCTATCAGCTTCCATTGCTGATAGCCACCATACTGCTGCTCAAGGCATGACATTGGCACAATATCAAAGAAACACTCTTGAACAAATTGTACATGAAGCAATAAAGAGAATTTATGCTGCCAAATTATGCCACAGAGCATATTCATATGTTTACATGAACTGGTCTTTGAAGAGAGAAATCATTTCTAAATAAAGTCATTCTTTCCACATCAAGGAAGGCAAAGAGGCTTTTGCTTTACTGTCTGGTTTCCTCGTATTTCTTCTACCTTCCCCCCAGTCTGAACATGATTCTGACCCCATGTGCTGGAAAGCATGAACCTCCTTCATGGGTGTGGATGAGCAGAGGTTGAGCATTCCTCCTCAATCAATTCAAGTTGGCTTGGTAGATTAGTATTAACATTAGTATTATTAGTAGCAGTATTATTATTATATTATTGGTACTGAAACAAGCATTAATGTCAAACTCTGAGTCTGGGAAATACCGTCAAGAATGCATTACTCTGTTTCATATTGGATACTGAAAGACCATATCATTGGCATCCAATCATTGGATGATATGGGGGGTGGGCAGGAATTTTTCTACCTCACTCAGTATTGGTTATGAAGTGCCTATGACAAAATTAATTCCAATTGTCTGCTAGTTTTGACTGCAAATTGAACCTTTAGGGTTCCCCTGCCAGTGACTTTCCTTCTAAGTGGTGATTATTACATTATGGGAAACACCTCATTAAACATGCTAAGGAGTGGGGAACTGACATGGGGGCAGTTTTCACAGGGCACAGGGAGACGGGGTGACTTGAAGCAGAAATGGCAATGAGTGAGCCATGCAGATGGAACTACTACTGAGGCATAACCCTTCTCCACTGCCACCACCTCTCCTGTTGAAAGAAATTATTCATTGATCATTGTATTCCAGAAGAAACTTTGCAGCAAAACATCCTGAAAAAAGTATCCAGCAATGAATTGCTGAATACTCAGCATTTTGGCTGCTGGTAAAAGATACATAGACTAGTCAATGAGAGATTTCTTGCATTACAACCCCATTTATCCTTCATAAATTTTTTAGAATAAAATCTCCAGATAAATAATTCAGAGTTCATCTGGCATAAGAATAAGTTGTGATTATTTATTCCAGTCACTGGGAAGCCCATGAGAGGATTTGTCAAGTATTGGCCCTCCCTTCCCTTCAGACATATAAAATTCCCTTCAATATACTGAAGGGAATTTTACATGTAATTGAAACAAGCAAAAACCTTAAACATCCATGCTTTCTCATATGCTTGTGCAAATGATGCAATGATGATTTCACAGGCACTCATGTGAAATGTTCATATTTTCCTTCTGGATGGACCTTTTATGAAAAGGAAAATATGGTAGAGAAGAGCAGATAATACTTACCAGGTAAGATGTGACGAGCAGCCACAAAATGCCTTCCTTTCTCAACAGACTCCTGGAACTGGAGGGCACCAGAGAGAGCAGGGAAATGTGTATTTCTTTCCTCAGAATTCAATCTGGGAATGCTCATAGCTTCTCCCCTTTCTCCTTCAAATTTCTTCTCTCTAACAAGAGTTGGATGTTGGAATCTCAACTTACACAAAATGCTATGGCTTGTTCCTTATGCAAACATGACTTTCATAAATGCAACTAGTCCAATGCAAGTTGAATAAAAAAATGTTTATCCTGTAGCATAGGACTTGATATACAGGGGGATTATAAAGCCTGGAAACAATGGGAAAAAAATATATTTATTTGTTTGTTTCAGGGTGTGAATGCTGAATATAAGTATGCCTTTGAGAAATGAGGAACAAATTGAAGTGATTTCATTGTGTGGACATGAGGCCTGCAAGGCATACATTTGGAGCATTTATAAGTGTCTAGTGTTGATGTTTCAAGCATTTCCCATTGTTTCCAGACTTTATAATCACCCTGTAGGTTGCCTACTTTTTGAGTGAGCAGTAGCATGATATCTCAATACACTTGTCCCATATGATCATGTAAATGCTTTCACAATAACAAGTGCTCTCATAAAGGATCCACCAAGACAGAAGATTTTAATTTCATCTTGTCAACCTCATTCTCAATCCTAATGACTCTCAATCAGGGCAACTGAAGAAATTTGACATTAAAGTTTTGATTTGCATAGTGAAAGCAAGAACAATCACAAACATCGAAGGGCACGAAGCCAGACCTGCCTTCCACAATGATGTGAGACACCAAGGTTGATCTGCACATAATGAATCATATGTCGCACAAAACTAGTCTGAAATCACAAAATCAGGTAAGAATGGAGGTGCAAGGTCTTAGTGCTCTTTTTCTTACTTTATTGTTTTCACTCCAGCAATCTTACTTTCTCATTTCCAATGCCTTTCTTGTCTTGTGAATTTTTCTCTCACCAAAGTTATTTCAGGACACACATGTATACAATGCTTACATAACCATAGTGAAAAACAGCTTATTTACTTAGCTTTAATATTACATATTACACACAGTATGGCAAAAAAAAGACCAACAACTTTTAACTAAAGTATCTCTGCTCATAATGTAGCAACTTTTACAAGACTTTCACTATGCATACATAATTATGTTTCCAACTTAATCTCCAAATTTTATCAGAATTCTTGAGCTGAAGCAATACCATCAGCAATTATTGAAAATAAGATAAATATTGAAAATCTTCTTCAAATTGAGAGAATTCTTTTCAATAATTGCTGATGATATTGTTTCAGCTCAACAAATTCTGGTGAAATTTTGGGAATAAGTTGGAAACATACTGTTGCACACACAGGGAAAGTTGTGAAAAAATGGCTCAATTGTGAGCAGAAATATTTTGGTTAAAAGTTGTTGGTCTTCTTTTTGCCTGTAGAAAGGACTCTTCACTGTGACAGTCTTGGGGTAAATGCTAAGGAGGTTAGGAGTTATGGAGAAGATGTCACTGAAAACCTGAAGAAATGTATTCCTCTTTAGTACCCACTTAGTGAGGGAGCCAGAGAGCCTGGGAAATGGACAGACTTCATGTCTTGTATATTAAGAATGCCAACATGGCATCAATTACACCAGCTCTTTCTTAACATCTTCTTATGGTGACAAATGCATCATGGGACTCCTTTGTTCATTAAATGCTTATATAAAGTCTACTTTCTAAAAATGGTTTGGTTGATTAGCCCTTCCACTGCTTATTTAATTCAAAGAGTATGAGGAGCACTTTGACTATTGTCAAACATGGCAGAAAAAGGGTTAATGTAGCTAAACTTTCTTTTCTAGGTTTTGAGGGAAAAATAAGCTGCTGAGAACAATCCCACTCTTTACTGAACCCCATCCCTATTTGCTTCAAATTATTAACAACAGCATTCACCCAGAAGCATCTGTGATGACTTGGCGGAGTAGTTTCAAACGATCTGATGGATGGCCCATTTTTTCCAAATCATTCATCAAGGCTAAGCATTGAGATGCCTGGCCAAGAGAGACAAGGCAGCGGATTTTGCGATCCAGCAGACCACCTTTGGGTTCTATCTTGAAACTTCTTTCCAGGTCCACCAAGCATTCTCTGTATTCCCCAAGTTCATAAGAGACTGCTGACCTGGACATCAGCCAACATGCATCCATGAATGAAAATAAAGGACTGCTGCTTACAAGGTGGGACCAAAAAGTTCCAGGACAACATTTTTTATAAGTCTGGCAACATAAAAAAAAAATCATTGCGAAGCACCTGTCATATTCCCAGAGTGAGGCAATTCTTCATCAAGTTTTGTCTCAAACTGAATACAGATGCAGTGATCCATCAAATGTTGCTATAAGCGTATTGACAAGTTACCTTGTCATATTCAAAGAATTTTGAATGGTTTTCAAGGCTTTCAGCACTTAGAGGAGACATTGAAGATGATGACTGGTGTGGACATCCCTTTGATGAATGATTGGTAGTGGTTGAGGTTGTGGTGGATCTGAGTGTCTTCTCTACTTGCTGAGAGACTTGAAAATCATTCAAAATTCACAGAGCATGACAAGGTAACTTGTCAATACACTTATAGCAACATTTGATGGATCACTGCAGCTGTATTCCCTGCTTTTAGACAAAGCTTGATGAAGCATTGCCTTACTCTGGGAATATGACAAATGCTTTGCACACTGAGTTGCTAGATTGCCAGCCAATTGCTCGTTCACCATGCTAGTCAGATGAGGACTTGCACAAAACTTCCCCACAGTCTCATATACCAGGTCATGACATATCAATGATTTATGTGATGTTGCCAGACTAAAAAAATTCAGTCCTGAAACTTCTTGGTCACACCTTGTACAAAATCCATGGAAAAATAGTCCCATACAGCAGATGCACTCAATGACCTTAGTTTTTGACTGGGGAAAAACTTCAAGACAGGGAATGGTCTTCATTTGGTTCAGGATACTCTTCATAGGAACTTCTTAGCAACTTCTCCTGATGTAATATCATGAAGAGTGTTTAGAGACAGGCATTCCAGTCTAGTGAATGGAACTGTAGTTTGAATGAAGTATTGATGGGGGAGTTCAAATGCTTGACTCTTGAAGAATTACTAGAAAAATGTAAGTACAAGCATATGGGCCACCAGAGAAAGGTGAATAAGAAACCTGTTGGCAAAGGCAGTGGCAAGAAGAGGAGTTCCAGGGAGTGCATAGCGGATGCAATCAGAATAACAGTGAAAGGCAATCTTGAGGTCTTTCTTCTTGTAGAATTCATTTCCATTCAAGCGGCTTCTTTCTGCCATACAGAGACTTTTTGTCTCTGTTGGAGTCGGGCACTGGAATCCTTGCACTGGCTCCAGGTCCCATAGCAAATGAATCCGTTCCTCATCTGTTTCTTTTCTTTTGAATTCATCAGTCAGGCTACTCACAAGATCTCTATCCTTCACATGCTGGGTTACTAAGGTAAAGAAGCTGGAGAATACACTCATGATTGACACTACTGTTTCTGACCCCTGAGAACAAAAGTAATTCTGATTGCCCAACTTTCTATCTAATACCAGTTCTACTTGTTCTAAGACTAAGACACCGCAAAAAAGCAGAGAAAAGAAATGAGTCATCAAAAAAGGCCATCAGCATAAACAAATTGATAATGGAAACAGTAAACTAGGCAGTAAATGATATCTGGTCCAGGAATACCAGCTCACCAGTATTCCCCAGGAATGTATACCCAACTAGGTGGACCAGTGATGAAGACAAGCACTTCACAACCAAGTAAGCTTCAATGCTGAGAAGGAGCAGTATGTAAAAAAAGCTTATTCTTTCTTTATCATTTCATTTCAATTTATTTATTCTTTATCACTTCACTGTTCACATTGGACTCCCTGGCCATATGCTTGCTTCCCTCTTTTTTCTTTTGTTTGTATTGGGGTGGCACAAGAAAAGCATCCTGTTTGATACTTTATGAAAATCACCGGGAAATCTAGTATCATAATTATTTTATCACACAGGAAACACTACAATATTTGTATCCTGAAAGTTTCAAGTATCTAGGCTGTCTCAGTAAAAAATTATAGTAATTCAAGGGGCAGTCTTAAAATTTAACTTTTTCACATGCAGTGGATGCAATCTCAGCTTTGTTTAAAATACCTTTCTCCTTTGATGTCATGAAGGCAGTTTTTTAGGCTGTGTCTATGTTATATTACTTTCGATTGTGAAGCATCTTTAGGCCTCAGGTGGAAATGTAAGGCCTAAATTGTATTATGTGTTTAGAGAATAAGGACTGGAGAGGGAAAAGAATAGTGCAAGTTTCATATCAAGTTGTGGACTCTTCCATGAAATCTCTCCCTTCTCCAGCCACTCTTTATTATTACCCACATACATATTGCCTAAATCAAATGCTCTCCTCATCTCCCAGTGGGTACATCATGAAGCAAGATAAAATCATGGCTAATTGATCAAAAATTGTAATATCATTTAATGAATTACTTGCTTATGTTGTTGATAATTTCAGAGGGAACAAAATTTTTGATGGGATAAAATGAAGAAAGCATTGTGCCAACTGTGACATCACTCAATCCTGTCCAAAACTTGAAGTAAAAATTCAATTAGCCAAGAGAGTGGGAACTAAAGGTTATTTTTAGGAATGGTATTGTGATTTTTAATTGTTAATAGACTAATTATGGAAGGAAAAAATTAGCAATCCTATTATTTAAAAAAGCAACTGATATAATCCATCAAGGCTCTTCTGAAGTCCTAGTTCTTAGTAATGAGCTTATAAGGCCTGAGGAGGCCCATGCTGTACATTAGTCTCCTCACAGTCCAATGCATCACATTGACCCTTTCAGTTCTGAATTAAAATATATAAATGATACAAAAACAAATTTTCCTCATTCAACTGTCCACAATGAAATGTCATTGATGACAAAAATACAAATTTCAAAAGAGGTCACAGTGACTCAGAAGTCCTTCCAGGCCTCAAGGTTGTGCACCCCTATATAGCCCTGCAAAATACATGTAAAAAATACACTCGAGTCCCAGCAGGGCAAAAAGGGTTAAAAGTTTTATAGGATGCCTCTCCTGAGTTCAGGGAAAAGAGGAATTAGCTGTATGCTGAGCTTATGCTACTTTGGGGTATGCACTGGCTTTCATCAGACCCTTCCTAAATTATTTCATTCATGAATAACAAATTGGGCACAGGAGTCTAGGACATTGAATTATCATTGTCAGAATAGTTTTTTCCATGCCAAACATAGGCCAGAATTCAATATTGCAGCTGCAAGACAAACATCAAGAAGATATATGTAGCTTTCCAACTTCCATTTGCTGTTTTTGCTTCTTTTTTTTTCTAACCATGTGTCTCCTTCAACTGTGATTGAACAAACAAAGTTGAAAAAGCTCCATTTCCATTTACCAAGCTCAATACAGGATATGATGTGTTAAATCTGATTTCAAGACAGTTGCCACTTATCAAAAGGCATTGAGAAATACTAACAAATGACCAGCCAGTATAGAACAAGGAATGACCCTTACCAGTATAGTCAATCATTGCATCCCCACATTGGGAAGGATGTCTGGATATCACAACTCAGCTGTTATCCAGTGGTATTAGAATGTGTGACCTTGTGATTCTTGCTGCTGGAGGGGAGAAGTCATTGGTGTTTACTGTTTGAGAAACTAACACAGGGAATTATGTAATCTCTTATGTGATACATCTAACATTCAGGATATGGCAGAAAGTTGATCTAGATGGAGGAGGGCAGAATGCAATAGGATGGAAGCCTCCAAAAACAGTTCCTCTAGTAGTCTTGGTAAATTAAACAGACTAACACAATCATTTCATCAGAATTAATTATGTGCTACTTCCCAGAACCAGTAAATTGAATTTAAAAAAAAACTGTGTCTGTAAATAAAATTTCAGGAAGGGACTCTGAATACTTCTTATAGGAAAACTAGAAGACCCATCTCATCAAAACTTTGTTATAATCTCAAAGTTACAATAAAATTGATCAATTTGGAAGTAGTCAAATGTCAGGTCCTGTAGGTCCAAAACAAGCTGTAGATAGCTTTTAAAACTGATTACTGAATTGCTCAGCCACAAAAGAGATGAAAAAGGGAATATGATTTTAAAATTGGCTGACTCCCAGCATGGCACCTCAAGCTTGTCTGTTTTCTGACCTGCTTATGCTAGCATTACCAGTAATGCAATTGTGGTTTTGTGTCACTTGTACAATTCTTGTACAGAATGGTATTTTCTGAAGGAAATCACATGCTGATAAACAAGTGCATTTAAATAATGAGCTGGAGTATGCAATGCCCAAGAGTTTCCCAAGAGGAATTGGAATGGTTAAAAGCACATCAAAAATGTTCAGAATTCTTCCTGAGAAACTTATGCAATGTGAACTGCCCCCAGCACTTTTCAAATACACTTGATGTGCATACAATTTCCTTCAAAATATACCATTTTGCATGAGAAGTGCATATTGTACACAATCCCCTTTGCACACAAGTAGCACTAGCACAAGCAAAACTGGCAGTAGGTGAGTCTGAGGCATCATTCTCACACCCAATCAATTTATACCCATAACTCTCTCCTTTCTGTTTATGCAACCAATGTATTGGGTTGTAACATATATTCCTGCTGTTTTTATATTTTGTTTGTTTTCACTCCATATTTTTGAAGTTTGGCAAAGTGGATATAGTCATTCGAAAGAGCGTTCTTTCCTCTACAAACTTATTGCCACCATTTTTTCGAATAACTTAATTTTACTTAACTTTCAGGTATTTGAAATGGAAATACCAGGCGGCAAGAAAACCCATTTTCGACACTTGCTTTATTTCGCGTTTCGCCGTAATCAAAAAGCAGCCGAAGCAGCTCGGGATATTTGTGCCGTTTACGGAGAGGGTGCTATAGCTGCGAGGACTGCTCGAGATTGGTTTGCCAAGTTCAAAAATGGCAACTTCGACCTGGACGACACGCCTCGCTCTGGGCGACCTACCGAGTTCGACGAAGACCATTTGAAGGTGCTTTTGAAGGAGGACGGTCGCCAAACATGCAGAGAATTGATGCGAGATGTTGAGCAGCAATTTGAAGGCGATTTTCTTTGTTGTTTCCGGTAAGCTCGTGTGGCACCCAAGCTCCAAGTTTTTGAGTAAAACCAATTGATTGAAGGTGACGGGATATCGTCATTGCATTGCTGTTCATCTTCTCGGCCAATTCTCTGCATGTTTGGCGACCGTCCTCCTTCAAAAGCACCTTCAAATGGTCTTCGACGAACTTGGAAGGTCGCCCAGAGCGAGGCGTGTCGTCCAGGTCGAAGTTGCCATTTTTGAACTTGGCAAACCAATCTTGAGCAGTCATCGCAGCTATAGCACCCTCTCCGTAAACGGCACAAATATCCTGAGCTGCTTCGGCTGCTTTTTGATTACGGCGAACGCGAAATAAAGCAAGTGTTGAAAATGGGTTTTCTTGCCGCCTGGTATTTCCATTTCAAATACCTGAAAGTTAAGTAAAATTAAGTTATTCGAAAAAATGGTGGCAATAAGTTTGTAGAGGAAAGAACGCTCTTTCGAATGACTATATCCACTTTGCCAAACTTCAAAAATATGGAGTGAAAACAAACAAAATATAAAAACGGCGGGAATATATGTTACAACCCAATACATGGCTTGCCTTCAAAGTCCAAGACCTATTGTGTGACAGCTCCCAAATTGCTATAGTTAAAGTAATGAAGGTTTAATACAAGAAATATAATATGGGAGAGTATTGTACACAATTTTCAATGAGAAAGATTTTATGGATTGTTTGTAAGAGGTACTCTAAATCACTTCATTTCTTTGAGCCACCCTGTAGTATAATGTTTAGAAAAGTACAAAGCCACTATCATCCTAGGGTCACCAGAGCTTCCTCTTGGGAAAATGCAAGGAAGTTCCATAGATCATGGTTTGCTCATATCTAAATAAAAATGAAATGAGAAATCTACAATTCTTCAAACCATATAATCACATATATAGTTTTGGACAACTTGATGAAAATTATGCAAGTCAAATGGTGGCTACAAAAAAGCTGTAGTGGCTGTGTCATTCATCTATGCCCATTTAACCCCTAGTTTTTTGAGTGCTATCATCCATAATCTAAATTTAAAAAATTATTCAGTATACATAAAAAATATAAAACTATTTTCTTCATGAAGTTGATCACAATAAATTAGAGCTTTAATTTACAAACTAGTTCAAGTTCAATTCAAAAGCAGTTCCATCATGGAAGAATGCTAGAAAATAACAAATAAATTAATACTTTTTAAAATGGAAATTATCTTGAAGCATCAATATAAAACTAAAAAAGAGCTGTTCCAGGAAGATTAATGAAAAAGGATGGACAATTCCTTCACCTCAACTTCTTGTACTTTCTTCAGCATAATTTGTATGACTCAAACAAGAATTGCTGGGGGAATGAATGCTGATGATTTAATTTCTCCAAAATCTGCTTCAAAAGCCACAGATAGTTGAGTTTAGGAAGGTAAACTTTTTCCTTTAAAACATCCCCATGGTAAAAAGTCTGAATGATACACATAAGGGAAATGTGGATGGAGAGGGGACCATTCTAGAGAACTCTAGATGAGTTAAAGCTAGATTGGAGTTTAAATTGCTGACAATGCAGTCCTGCTAAATCTAATACATCCAGCTAAAACTTAACTTGCATGCAGAACATAGAATGACATTCTGCCATAGGATTACCATTGCATGTCTAAGATTGCAGAAGTGGTGTGACAAAAACTCAGCAGTCACAAACTTTAAAAGATGTTTTGTATCTCACAATCCAATCAGAGTACACTGAGAGGCTTTTACAACATCACAGGAGAAATAACAGTTCCTCAAGTCTGTGCAATCATGTAATAAATTTCATCTGAAACAACTGAGCTTTCTTTGTGCACTTGTGACAAAGGTCAGATGCCTGACTCTCAAGGACAGGGTTTAGTGAAATTAAATATACAAATGGAAAGAAGATGAATTCAGGATTTCAAACACATGGCTTCAGAGCAAATATATATTCATTGCAGAATACCACCCAGCATAAGAAAAAAAGCATCTGAATTTAAGAACACTATAAACACAATCAAGGTAAGGACATTTGCCCTTCATCTGCAGAGAAAGAAGTAACAGACAAAATCAGCAGAAAGACCTTCCAATTTTTAGGTGAAGGGTGAAGAATTCCCAAGAGAAATGAATACCTGGAAATAATATATAAGATAAAAAATGAAATGAAGCATTCAGCGGGGATAAAAACTTTGGGTTGATGGAGGAGGAGCAGTAGTTCGACTATAAGGATTAAGAGGAGGTTGGAATCCAGAAGTGGGAGGGGGTCCAGCTGCAGCATAGCTCCCAGTGCCTCCTGCTTGTCCCTGCATCCCACCCATGTATGTCCTGCAAGTACCAATATTTACAGAATCACAAAAGGATCATGTATCACAACTATACAATAAGAGCACCTTTTTATGAGCATGTAAATGCCATGTCAATGCAGTACAGGTCTCAGGAGATGAATGAGAATTAGTAAAATTTCAACTTCTTGCTTTAATAATGAAGCAACTAATGACATGGGACTTAAAAGAATTGGAGGAAAAATATACGAGAGCTGATAATTTAATTTGTAGACAGTCAGTGTCACTGCTCTCTCAAGTAAGTTTCAGCTAAATCCCTCTAGATTGCACTGAAGTGCATGTCTAAGAATACCCTCAGGCAGTTACACATTGAAACGTGTCTTTGTTTCGTAATGGAAGATTTAGAGACTGAACAACAACATGTCATACACTATTGTGTTTGATGAGGTTTGAGTGGTGTAGATACCATAAAAGAAATGACAGAAGTTTACGGTAACTGGTGTTTGAAGAGAGCTGTGATTTTCAAGTGGCACAAACGTTTCAAGGAAGAACAAGAATCTGTGGCTGACAACTCATGGCCTGGCCAGCCGAGGACTTCGACCACCCCAGAGCAAATTGCATGACCCCAGGAAATCATGGACGAAGACCGGCAAATCACAATTCGTCAACTATGCAGTAAAATGTCCATCTCATACAGCAGAGCTCATGCAATTGTAACAGAACACCTGAAAACGGTGAGAATCTGTGCACACTGGATTCCATACCATTTGACACCTGAACAAAAACAAAAACATGTTCAAGTGTGCAAGGCCATGCTAACACAGTTTGAGTGAGAAGGTGCAAGATTTCTCAGTCACACAGTGACTGGTGACAAGACATGGATTTACTATTATGATCCAGAAACCAAGCAGCAGTCAAGTGAGTGGAAACATTAAGATTCACCGCCCCCAAAAAGTTTCGAGTTGTCCCCTCAGCCATGAAACAAATGGCACTTGTGTTTTTGTTTATTGCAAAGGTATTCTCATCATGCACTTTATGCCACATGGTACAACCTTGAATAAGGAAGCATATGTCAAAGTTCTACAAAAAAGCTCCACCTTGTGATTCACAAAAAACGTCCTGAGCTTTAAAATGAAAAATGGTTTTTGCATCAAGACAATGCCAGTCCACACACTGCTGTTGTTGTGCAAACCGTGATCGAAGCTTCTGATGCAGAGGTGTTGCCACAACCCCCCTATACTCCCAACCTCGCACCACATGATTTCTTCTTATTCCCAAGGTTGGAGAAAGTGCTGAAGGGCCGGCATTTTGGTTCAGATGAGGAAGCTCAAATTGTCACAACCACAGCATTACGAGGTATATAAAAAAATGGCTTGCAAGAGGCTTTTGACAGTTGGGTAAAGTGATGGCACGAGTGTATCCAGTTTCAGAGAGAGCATTTCGAGAAGGAAGAAGCAGCTGCAGACCATGATGACAACAATTATATATGATAGTTTCAGTCTACGAATTAAATGATCAGCCCTCATATTTACTTCCTGTAAATCTGAGGCAACAAACCAGAATGTCCAGGAAAAGTTATGCATGCAAGCAAAAAAGGCCAGGTCAGCCAATCTGCACTCCCCCACCACTGGTTATAAAACAAAAACTTCAGAAAATAAATTATTTTTTAAGAGTGGTCTTTCCCTGATGTCCTTTAGGGACAAAAAGGTGAATTCATGAAGGAAAAAAAATGGATGTCTCTTCTATTTCTTTTTTTCTTGTCATTCAGCAAATAGACTTATAAATATTAAACTAATAAATCTGAAGACAACAAACTACAGATGCAGTTTCAATATGCTTTATCCCAACATCATGCTACTCCCACTGCATTACAAGTGTGTATAACTTTTAGTTAAGAAGGGACCCTTCAATACAGTATATTTTTCTTCAATGCTGTTACTCTACCTTCAGTGTTCTATTCAATTAGACATGTGGAGGTGTTCGTAGAACCACCCTGTATATTTAAAATTTCTCAAGAATGAAAGCTTATGAAACACAATATGCAAGTTAAAAAGAGAATGTAAGAGGGGTCCACCTACGAAGGAGAACCAGGATATGTAGCTTGGTGCTGAGAAACTGGAGCATATCCAGCCTGAGATACAGCAGAAGATGTTGGAACAGCTGTTTGAACTGTAGCTGGAGCTCCTGCATAAGATGGATAGGATGGCCCTAGGCCAGCAGATGATCCTACTTGCCCAAGCATCACCCCTGTCTGTAAAACAAAACCATAAGTGCAATTATGTCCAAAGATCATAAAATTGCAATACCTCAGAAATTCTACAACTACACTGTAAGTGAATCGTTTTTTTTAGATTTTCATTGAGCATTAAGCTAAAGTCCTATACTGGACTCCAGGTAGTTTACTACACAATTTATCAGACTTCTACCAAAGGAACAAGGAGTATCTTCAATCGACATGACACTACAAGATGGCTTCAGATGGAAAAATGATGCACTTGAGAGGAATGCTGAGGAACAGATGATGGAGGATGGTAGACATGGGAGTAGGATGTTGGTTGCTGCACCATAGCATAAGGACCTGGCTGCTGCTGCTGCTGCTGAACACTCCCAGGTCGCATCATCCCACTACTTCCACCCATGACTCCTGTTCCACTCTCAACTGAAATGCATAATTACATCTCATTCAAACTTGGGGCTTGAGCAGGAAAATAATTTTTCCTTCCCTATTTAGGAATGAAACAATACCTTCAACTGGTTATCAGTAAAATATTATACAGGGTGGACCAAAAGTTTTTGCCCCTGTATAAAAATGTGAATATCTCCTGAACGGTTTGGGCTACAGAGTCGAAAAAAAAACTAAAAGAAAGTTCATTTCATCCTCTTTCTGAAAATGTATGGTTTTAGGTTCCTACATTCATTTGGAGATGAGTCATGGCCGTTTGAAAAAAACATAC